GACAATAGAAGCAATCAAAACCAACAAAAGAGCAATCATTTACAAGTGCTATATTAGTATATTATTATAGTGTTATGTTTCAGTTTCACAAAGAAACGTACAGTATTTTATCCAAGCAATAATAAAAGGACACAATTAATTTATAATTTGTCTTAAATCTCATTTTGTTAAAAAAAAAAATCGTGAATCGAATCGTGAGTTGAGTGAATCGTTACATCCCTAGTTGTGTGAGAAAAACACAGACTTGGCAGATTCACATGGGATTAAAACTGCAAAATACGGCTGTGAAATGCAAATTTCTTTAACGTCCCCCTGGAAAAATAGTCCCATCCGAATAGGAATTTAGTTAACCTTTCTGCTAAACATTAGATTTTTTTTTATTATTCATATATCCAAGTTGATGGTTTGGCATTTTTGCAGATGAAGTGACATCATCATTTGCAGGCAAAGTGACATTAGATCACATGACCATTCAAATATAATTGATTTGACTTTTTCAAGCACTGAGAAGAATACAAAAATCTGATTTCCCTACAATAATCTTTATATATCAGGTGATGTTACATCATTAAATTTAAATGCAAAGATACATATTGAAAAAAAATATTTTAAAATAATCAAAGACATATTTCCAGAAACAACTGCATGAGAGGTGTTTGACAAATGTTTATGAATATAATACAGTGGGTGTGGCAACATGAGCTCACATGACAAGAACGTTATATAGATTTTATAATCCAAGTCATATATAATGTGTGACAGGTGTGTTTGAACATATCACAACTGGTATGAGATCATCGGGTCATATAATCAGGAAGTTATATAGATTTGTATATTTCAAAAATTCATTAAGAATAGACATTTCCAAAATCCAAGTCATGTATGTATGTGTTACAAGTGTTACTGAATGTATTACAGGTGCCATAACAACACCTGTTTCTATTAGTTAAAAGAAAATGTTGGAGTACAATGTAATAATGTAACAATTCATAGTGAATATCCCATTCACAGCTTAAAATTGTGTATTAATGGTTTTCCACTTAATTCAAATCTTTACATTTTATTTGTATGATGCTTTGCATGTTTTTGAATCTTGGAATTAGGATGTTCATTTCGGTTATTTTTCCTAACCGACAACCGATTATTCTCTATTCTAATTTAAAATAATCTTGTCGGTTAACGGTTGTTAACCGACAAGATTATTTTAAATTAGAATTAAATTAAATTAGAAAGGATAAGTGTCTGTGAACCATTAAAAATACTAACATTTGTTTCCCGGGGATTAATTTTACATGCGCAAAAAGCAGCAAACAACAGAACATGAGGATTCACATGGTCATATCATATCACATCACGCACCTGCAGCGCTTCTGCGAGCGGAGAAAAACATCATAAAGCTAGGCTATATATATATGCCGTCTCGTATGCACGCACGCATGCACTGTCACGATCTAATGCTCTGTAAATGCCGGATTATTAAAAACAAATAGGCCTACCGCAACGCAAAAATTCAAAATCTGACATTTTCCGGAACAGGATCCAGCAGGATCAAAGTAAGTACTGGTCATAATACTCACATCATATGAGCAACAGTGTGTTTTTAATGCACTGTAAATGCCGGATTTTTAAAAACAAATAGGCCTACCGGAACGCAAAAATTTTAAATCTGACATTTTCCGGAACAGGATCAAAGTAAGTACTGGTCATAATACTCACATGATAATGTTTCATGTGAGCAACTGTGTTTTGCTGCAGCAGCGCCGATGGAAGCGGTTCACTGACTGCGCAGCACAGCCACACGTGCCACAGTTACGTTTGGGATAATGTTATTTTTAATGCCATAATGTCATTTGAAAACATTGCAATTGTGTTTTAAAATACAATAACGACCACCACGAAACCATTTAAAGAGGCGCGTTCAGTGGTCCCCATGACGGGATAGGAAACAGTCAACAAAGTAAAATTCTCAAACGAGCTCTCTTTATTTTATCAAATGATCATAATCTCATCTATTAATTTTACAATCCTGCTACTAGCATTTTATTCAGACTAAAACCCCTTTAATTCGGGTGAGAAAGCGGGGGGGTTTTTTTGACATCCTGTCATGCCAGGCTGCATAGATGCATTTTGCAGCATTAAGGTTAACGATTAATCGATTAATTGATCGTTAATTTAAACGACGATCGATCATGGAAATGATCGAAAATTGACATCCCTACTTCAAAATCTTCCTTCAGAAATACAGTGATATAAAAACACCCGCGCCTCGTTTAGATTTTTAAATGTGCAGTACGTGCTCATGTTTATTCAACGAAGCCTTTTGGAAAATCAGTCAGTTTTGATATTGTGGTGAGCGCCTACCCAACGTTGGTTTCAGTTTTGTTTTATGAATTTGTTTTGGCTTGTCGTTTATATAGCTATAGCTTCTTACATTTTTAATTCTTGTTCTTTTCTAAATACTGTTAATTGAAAGGATTTGTTGTGGAGTGAGGGGAACTAAAACAGCCTCGCTATGTTTACAGTGTTTATTATAATGTTTGTAAACATTTCGCATCAGCATTAGGCCTAATTCTGAATGAAATAATAAAATGCGACTTACACTCGACTCGCGTTTTTTTTTTCTTTTCTAAAAAACACATTTTTTTATATACGCGTAGCGCATTTTAACCATGCAGCAAACCTTTTTAAATATTTTGATAAATTACTGAAAAAAAATTCATAAATGACTTTTTAAACAGTTTAACTGATTGTTTTAATCGGTCAAAAATTCTTACGGTCGGTTAACGGTTAACCGGTTAAAATGAACAACCCTACTTGGAATGTCTATCTTTTTTATTATTTTTATGCACTTTTAAGACAGTCCCTTAATTTACTCGGCGAATGTCTAACGAATGTCCAGCATAAAACCAACTTTACTGTACCAGTGTTATGGATCAACTGGGGATCGTGTTAACTGGGGATGTGTGATTGATGCAATTATTACGCTGTGTTGTTTCCTCAATACTTGTTTTAATGCATGCGACACAGTTTAAGTGTCATTTTAACATGATTTCACGTGGTGACATGGTTCACAAACCACGCCCACGTTATCTTGGCACATTCACTTCTATGGAAAATGACAATCACTCAAATAAATTTCAAGTGTAACTCACTTCTATATACACTGAGTGAAAATAGCGTTATTTAGCAGTCTGTTTTTTACACTAAGTGCAAATAGACCAATTATAGGTTTGTAAACATTCAGGATGCGCGCGCATCATGGTTGCAGAAAACCCGGGAGAGATAGCCTTTACGGCTAGAGAATTTCACGGATACGGTACAAAATAGTTAGGTTTAAAAAGATTATAAATTATATTGATTAGATGTCATTTTCAAAATGTTCTCCACATATTACAAGAGCTTGTCACCTAGCGATAAGTAGGCCACGTTTAAGTCCCTACGCCACTGATGAATCGGAGTAATGTATTATTTATTAAAATATTTTAGTCAACGAGATGACAACATACATCCACATCAGTAGCGCAATTTGCTTTATTTACACTCATTCCACCCACCAATGCCTGGTTGGGTCAGTCACACATAGCTCTCGTCCGCGTCAGTGGCGTAGGGACTTAAATGCACAACAGCAACTTTGGATACGGTTGATCCGAGTTCGAATCCAGCTTTAACCAACTTCGTTCATCTTATTTTTCCCCATCATATGGCTGATCCAAAATGCGTTTATTTTCAATAAAATTAATAAAACGTGAAAGGTGGAAATAAAGCACCAAAATTGCTTCATAAGTATTTGGGTTGGCGTAGGTGTAGAGAGGACTAATTAAGGTAGCATCCATTTGATAACTTTAATAAATATTTTCATTTTAACTATTTCATACTTTTTTTTTTATAATGTAGCCTATAGAGTATCTGCCATTATTTCCACAAAGCATAAACACAACGTCTTTACATTAGAGCTTTGCAGTAGCTTTTGACGTTGGAATGGGACGTAAAATAGCTCACATGCACGCGCACATCCCCAGTTAACACGATCCCCAGTTGATCCATAACACCGGCTAAAGCTGCATAATAGGAAACGCACAACAGATCAACCCAGTATACCTGTTTGTGTCCCTTATGATCATTAAACACAATAGCATCAAATATATGTATTTAGTAATTTTACCTGTTATTGTAGAATAACACTTTGATGAAATACGTATTTATGTGCACACCCTCTGCTAGCCTATGTCTGTTTATTTAAGTATATTAGTTCGATAATTGCAAGTCTTATAATGTATGTGTTTATGTTCTCTGTGTGTTGTGTAGTAATAGCTTTTAAGTATTTTTCCTGCTTTTTAAAATAACCTTTAAAACAGATAAACAGATCTTCAGCTAGCTTCTGTGTTAGACTAGCCTGTGTGCCATTTGTAAATAAGAAATGTATAATTTACCTTTTGCTTTCTCGGTTGGATAGAGCTTTTCTGCTTTGTTGAGGAATTTCAAAGCCTTGTCTTTATTGCCATCCTCAAGGGCTTTGATAGCGATATTCAAACATTTTTCAGCCTCGTCCCGGTTTCCTTCCATCATTTTACCTTCTTCTGTTCTGTTTAACGGCGGTTGGCATCCAACTTCAATGGTGCATTACCGCCACCTACTGTACTGGAGTGTGAACCGGAGTTAGACAGAGATAAACTATAACTAGGCTGCGTTCAGCCTCGTCCCGGTTTCCTTCCATCATTTTACCTTCTTCTTCCTTGATGTTTAACGGCGGTTGGCATCCAACTTCAATGGTGCATTACCGCCACCTACTGTACTGGAGTGTGAACCGGAGTTAGACAGAGATAAACTATAACTAGGCTGCGTTCCAGTTCACTTCCCTAAGCACTTATCGGGGGAATCCCCGCCGCCATTTTGAAGTGCGTTCCACTTCGTCAAGTGGACGAGGGAAGTTTACATGGACATACCGTCGACCCCTCGATTTTGACCGAGGGAGCGAGAGTCTAGCCTTGTCCAAATACCCACACTTGCAGTCTTTGCACTTGACCACTTGATTACTTAAATGACGTATTTCCTGTATTTGGCCGAAGTCTTCAAGTGGGTGTGAAGACCACAAGTGTGTGTCGAACTTTTCATTACCTGATGGGACACACTTATAGTGTTGTAAAAATGCAAGTGTTTACAGAGATGTATTTTAATTTTAATTTTAAAATCAACTTCTAAAGTCTGTTCAGTAGTCCCTATAACATGACAATTTTAATTTGTGGTGCTTCTAATTAAATGATAAAAAGCAGTTGCAAATGTTGTACAAAATAAATATCACCACAACTCATCTTTGCACCTAGAAGGGAGACTTTCACCTCTCTTCTCCCTCCTGCCCCCTCCCCTTTAATTAATAATAATGATTTCCAAAACTGTATTCTATATCCTATTTGCTATACCAGTGTCCTTCAGGAAGCTAAATCAATGAGTACTAATATCATTTGAAGTTTTTCCCAGAAGTTCCTTAAAGGGATAGTTCACCCAAAAATGAAAATGTGATATTTATCTGCTTACCCCTTGTTCCAGTTCAGACCATTCCAAGGCTTCCGCCAGTAGTGGGCACTTGTGCAACGTAATCAATGACGTACATCCGAGTAAACGAGACGGAGGGAAGTTTGCGAGTGTGAATTCCCTTGCATCCACAAATTCCTTATGTTTACTTTCATCTTTATCCTTTCTCTCTCATATTTTTGGCATTCAAGTACCACATGTTCAACAGATTCAATACTGTCACAAAATTCACATCTTCCTGATATATGCTTACCTAAGATATGTAAGCACTTATTTAACCCACAATGTCCAATCCTTAACCTAGTGAAAATTATTTCTTCCCTTCGATTCCTTCCAGTGATCTTCCCTGTCCCAACCTTCTGTTGTATTCTGTATAAATGTCTCCCTTTCTCCTCACTATCCCAACTACTCTGCCACTTTTTCATAATTTCCATCATTTTACCAGCTGACTAACACCAATTTGACGATTCAGACCAACACTTTCGCTTCCCAAGAAATAAATACAAAAATAATTATTTGGTTTATAATGTTTTAAGTATAAGGTAAACACGGGTTTGCCTCCTGCTTTATTATTATTATTATTTGCAGTTTTTTTTTTTTGAAGTACAAGTCAAAATGCCTTTTTTTTTTAAGTTGCATTTTATTTATTAATATCACACTCAATAGGTTATACAAGTGAAAAGATTTAGAGAAAAAAGGATTTATAAGACCATTTCATTTCATACGGACATCCCCCTTTTATATTTGTGTATTCTTCATTTTATATTCTACAGTGGCGGCTGGTCAATAGGGGGCGCTGGGGCGCCGCCCCCATCAAGTTAGCCAGGGAAGAAACCTACTTCAACATGTTAAAAATAAGTATTGCAAAATAATCACGAAATTTCATTATTTAGTCATACTATTCGACTGGTAGTCAAGTTAGCACCTATTAAAAATAAAAAAAATAAAAACTCTATTTTGTTTGTTTTGTGTTTGTTTTGGGGCGCCAGACAAATGGGTGTCAATGGCCCTGTCCATAACCCATGGCAGGTGTGTTGAGACTAGTTGGAGCTAAACTCTCCAGGACCGAGTTTGGGCACCCCCGTAATAGGCTATATGGAGTGCCAAAGCTGCCAAAATAATAAACACATAAACACATGAATAAATATACAAAGAAATATAAAATAACAAAAATAAATGCACAAATAAATCTACAGAGAAATGTAAAAAAAAAAAAAAAAGTATTTTTACTTTTATTTCCTCATTTATATACAATTGTATTTTTCTGTTTTTTTTCTTCTTTTATTTATACATTTATTTATTTATGTATATATGTAAACAACATTTATTTATTTCCACATTTATATATTTCCACATTTATGTATTTCTACATTTATTTATTTTTACATTTCTTTGTCCATATGGTAATGAGGTGGGCGTGTTTTACTTAGAGCAATCAAGCTTTGATGCCTGTGAGTAGTGCAAGTCAGTTAATGAATGGCTTAGAAGCGGGCGATATGGCCAAAATCTTATATCATGGGTTAAGTCATTTAATATCATCGAACTGTATGTACAGTATATAGGGTGAACATACATAGCCTACTCTTGTCCAGGATAAAACGTCCGGTCGGGATTTGGCTGAATATGAACAGAAACCGCAACGAAAGAGTGTGCACATTAAATCATCCAGTATTAATTACATTTAATGTAAATGAATCGGATGTGACTGATAAGAGCTTGAATATTGTTGATGAAACTCACCGAGCAGCTCAGAAAGCGTAGACAAACCACAAGCGCATATTTCACACTTCTTTAAAGGGGTCCTATTATGCTTTTTCACTTTTTTAATTTTAGTCAGTGTGTAGTGTGTATGTTTGGGCATAAAAAATATCTAGAAAGTTACAAATCTCAAAGTCCACTCCAAAGGGAGATATTTCGTTTTTTAAAAATCTCTTTTCAAGAACTACAGCAAACGGCATATTATTGATCATTGTGTTTGAAACGCGACTGCAAATTTAGTAGCCTATACATTCACGTTTCCTCATTTTACATAATCAACCTGCTACTTAAGGGTTTCTTTAGGTGAAACGTCATAAACCCTAAGTATTTCCCTTAAGTATATGTAAGTATTTCCCACTTAAATAATCCCTTTAAAAAGTGTTGCATAAAGCCCCTTAGGCTAATTGTCATTTTCTTAAGTATATCAAAGTTAGGAAAACTTAGGAAAGTTTTCTAACGACAACAAGATCTAACAAGATTGTCCATTTTATATGCTAAGAAGATTTTAATTTAGGCATTTGTTCACATGTAAACATTTATCAAATTACATATAGCACTTATCTTACATGGTCAACAGTACCCATACATATATGTAATATATGACATATATGTCCTTATTATCATATGTCCCATATGTTGTCACATATGTTGTGTTATAAGACAATATATTATTATTACATGTATAGATCCTCAGGATTTCTGAAGCTATAAGTTCATATCATATATTAAATACCCATAGTTATATGGGTATAAATACCCATAATTTGTTTATATACATATATTAAAAATAGTTATATGATAAATTATTTATGGTAATGCATGCAAAAACCTTTTAGCATTATTGTGCTCTAGCAACATTACCAAACCTATAATACAGTTATAAGTATATTAATTATTTCATTCTTTGACAGTAAAACATCAAAAATTGGCAAAAATCATTGTAATTTCATACTCTGAATTTGTTCTCTGCATTTAACCTATCCATGCACACACACAGCAGTGAGTAGTGAACGCACACACTGTGGACACACCTGGAGCGGTAGGCAGCGATGCCCGGGAGCAACTCCTTGCTCATTTTTATTTATTTATTTATTTAATTAATTTCTTTACTTTACTTATTTACCCACTTCCACCACGATTTTGTTGTGAATGACTTTGCAGAGTGTGGCATAGGGTGCTGTCACAAAATCAGCCACCACCACAGCACCAGATCCCATCACTCCGCCCACACAATCTCAATCGCCGGAGTTCTAATCACATGCACCTGCAATCACTAATCATGGACTCCCATATATAGTGAGTGCTTCACAAGCACTCACTGTCGCAACGTTAAGGATGCAAGCTGCCGTTAAATCCCAAAGAAGACGAAGACGAAGACGACAACGAAGAAGAAGAAGAAGAAGAAGACGACGACGAAGAAGACGACGACGACGACGATGAAGAAGAAGAAGCACTCACTGTCGAAGATGGCAGTGGCCCGATCAGGCGGTTTTGGCAACACTGGACTGTGACTGGAGCACTGATGGCAGGAAATGACAGTAGTTCTGGTAGTGATCCGGAAATGGAAGACTAATCGTGTAGCGAAAGTGCAGGAGGGAGAGAATGGTGGAAAGTAGTCAATCGGAAAAGAAAGAAAAACAATAGTCAAGGATCATTTACGGATAGTGGAAAGGAGGATCACGTGAGTAGGAAAAATATAGAGGAATACAAAGTAATGATGAAATTTGCAGAACCTGGTATGACGATAAACCCAATTAAACTGAGAAAGCCTATGATATGCTTTGGAAAGAGGGACTTTTAATAATACTTAAATGTATGGGAATTGGAGAAAAGTTATATAATTGGATTATGGATTTCCTTCTTGAAAGAACAGTACAGGTTAGGGTAGGAGTAGAGTATTCTGAGACATACACAATAGACAATGGAACTCCTCAAGGAAGTGTATGCAGCCCAATATTTTTTAATATTATGATTAATGATATTTTTGGTAATTTTAAAGGTGATATTGGAAGGGCATTATTTGCTGATGACGGGGCAATTTGCAAAAGAGGACGTAATATTGCATGTGTGTCTCAAAGATTACAAAAAGCAGTAGATAAAGTGGAGGTATGGGCAAATAATTGGAGCTTCAGATTGCTAAAACTCAAGTTATATGTTTCACAAAAGGGAAAAATGTACCAAAGGTTAAGTTGAAGTTGTACAAACAGGAGCTGGAGCAAGTCTCAGTAGTTAAATATCTCGGTGTTTGGATGGAATCTAGATTGACATATGCAATGCACATTAAAAAACTGATTAAGAAATGTAAAACAGGAGTAAATATCTTACGATGTCTATCTGGGGTAGAATGGGGAGCTTGTAGATTGTCATTGAAAAGAATTTATTGTACATTAATCAGACCAAGTTTAGATTATGGAAGTATTATTTACGGATTTGCATCTAAAACCACACTCAAAAAGATTGAAACTATACAGAATCAAGCTCTTAGAATA